ACACAAGCCTAGGGACTTGTGGAATTCAAAATAATGCTCTTACTTTGTGATTTTGCTCCTGCCTCCCTGCCACATGCCACAGGCAGGAACAAGCCCTCCACCCACTTCCCTGCACCACATCTGTCAGGGTTATAAGACTTTCAGAAGCTGTTATTATCCAGGGACCTGGGACTTTCTGAAAGCCTGGTTTTTCTAAACGGGTGCCTATTTCTGGGAGAAGAAGCCAGAGTTGGGTTGCCAGCCTGTGCAAAGGAAATAAATAGCTGATGGATGGAGGATTGTGAAGTAACATCTTATTCCAAAGAGAGAAAAAGGGCAGAGAAACTTTAATCTGGATTTGAAGACTGGAGCATCAGCTGGGACTGGAGGTCACCCTGGAGGATGCAGACAGGTTCCTTGAAGTTCATGAAATGCTGGGGAGAGGGTAAAGTCAAGGCAAAAGAAAGGATGGGACCTGGGGAAAGCCTCCAGCATGGCTGCATCCTTGGCTACCCGTAGAGTCGCCCCAGGAGCTCTCAAAGCTCTGGTTCCCTGGCCATACTCCAGATCAATCTCAATTTTTAAAAGCTCTGCAAGCAATTTCTATGTGCAATCAAGGTTGAGACCCAAAGCTCAATACAATCAATTTACAGTGGGAGAAACTTCAGCAAGAGAGCAAGTAACTCTAGGTGACTATAACATCTGTTGTGAATCCTATGAAGTTTTTCACTTTCTACCTCTATCCAGTGGCAATACTGCAGGTGAAAAGTATTAAAGAACTAAAGAAAACTCCTTAGAATTCTAAAATCTACCCCTCGAATCCCAGAACCTTCTGTCTCAAAGCTTATTCAACATCCTCAATGACCAGCACTTGTTTTGTTTTGATTGTTTTTTTCTGGCTGAGACTAGCATCACCATGAATCATACCGTCTTCCTACTGGCAGTTATTCCAGGAAATTACAGCAGGAATATTGATTGATTGATTGATTGATTGATTGAATATTGTTCTTGTCGATAGGTATGACCCAGCCAAGTGGAGTGGGAAGTAATTGGCTATTTGGTTGGTGGGGAGTGGGCACACAGCGGGGACTGCTTGCTCCTAAGAAGGATGTATATGACTGTCTGCTGGGCGCGGCAGACTTTGAGAGACCTGCCTTCCACGAGATGCTCTGGTTGGAGTGTTCATGCCATTGGTCAGGACTCTAGGTATTTGAGTTTGTGCTTAATAGAGTGAGATGCAGTCGGGAGTTGGCTCAAGGGTAACCTAAGTGTCCTCTGGGTGCCCCTCTGGACTGACTTAGCAAACCCTGCCCCACGACATTACCATCATCACCACCCTTTCCACGCTGATTGGTGCCAGAAATAGAGTCTGACTGATTTGAGTTCTTGCACCTGCAGGAGCTATTGTTATTGTTCATCCTTTGTCCATGGTCCTTTCTTTTCCCTCTGCCTCGTGAATTAATGGTTTTAGGTCACTGTATCAGACAGGATGGACCCATGGGCTTTCTTGTGTCATATGTATATTAGAGCAGAAATGCACTCACCTAGTGCATTTGTCCCTTTAAAGATATTAGGCTTAATAAGCTCTCTTTCCCTCTCAGTACCTATTGTCCAAAAGGGGAAAACAATTAGAAAAACTATGAATCAAAGATTGATATATACCAAGGTTTAAATTAAAGGTAATTTAACTGTTTCCCTGTGTCAGCACATGTAGGTATTGAACTAGATTTAGTTTTTAAAAAAATGAGTTTTGGGGTGGGGAGGGTCTAGCTCAGTGGTAGAGTGCATGCTTAGCAAGCATGAGGTCCTGGTTTCAATCCTTAATACCTCTGTTAAAAAATAAGGAAAGAAAGAAATAAAACCTGTAAAAATTATTTTCAAAATGTTTGAAATTCAGTCTTCCTTAAGAACATTTTAAAATGTTGCTGTGATCTCTTCTGGTTTTTTCAAGACAGAGGCATTTGCTTAAAGTGATATATCCTTCTTTGTATTTGAATCACAATGAGGATCCTATTAATTTGCTGATTGTTTCCTTTTAATCTTCTTCAAAGGATGAGAAGGATCCCCTCTCTGCTCTTTCCCTCTCTTTGCTTCCCTCTTATCTGTGTCCTGGACCGGCTACTCCTGGTCCTCCACATCCATTTACCGTCACCACATCACTTCTTTGTGTCTGTGCCGTTGTTTATGTGCTGTCTTCCAAACCCTTAGCTCTCACTCT